AATTATGGCTGCGAGGTTAAGTTTTTCAAGAAACTGGAGAAATGATAATCAATTTAACTTGGAGGAATGGTATAGAGAATTATGGGATATGGCAATTAATGATAAACTGACATGCGATACGAAAATAAGAAGAGGCCAATTGAAAAAAATAATGATTGTAAGAAAATATGGAATGTATTTTTGGAACATGTATTTCGGAGAGGGAAGGGGTATGCACCAAGGGAAGAAACAATGAAATTCTGGAATGAAAATTGATTGAATGAAATGTAATGCTAGTCCTGAAGGTGATGGGAGCACATGTGTAATTGTATTTTATTGTTTTGTATTGTTTGTTATAGTTTTTTGTGTGATAGTAGGTTTATTTTTGTATTTTTTTAAAAAGAAAATGCATGGTGAAAGAATAAAGTGCAAAAGCAGGTCTGCAGCTGAACATGAAAATGACAAAAATCATGACTACAGAAGAACTACATAACTTTAACATTGCCAGAATAAACTGAAATCATTATTGCTTTTGTACACCTTGGGTCAATCATTAATCTATATAGAGATGGCAAGCCAAGAAACTGGGAGAAGAATGAGACTTGGAAGGCAGTTGTGAAGGAACAAGAAAAGATCATCAAGTACAAGGAAGTGTCATTGCAGACCAAGGCAAATACTGTCTGTACTTTAGTTTTCCTGATCGCTAAGCACAGATGTGAAAGCTGGACAATGAAGTACACGGACAGTAGTCAATGCAGATTTGATCTGTTGGAATTCCTATGTAGTGTGCTCACTGTTCTATACTAATGTCATCTACAAGAAACAGTAACAAAGTACACTGGAAAATAAAACTTGAAAGTCTACATGATTATATCCATTTATATCATCTTTTTCATTTACTTACTTTGCGGTCCTCTTCAATGGGTTTTAATTATAGCAAATCAGTATTAATTAAATCTAGGAAGTGGAACAAAAATCAGTGTGAAAATGCCAAAGCAAATGATTAAGTGTTATTAATAAGAATACTAGTATGAAAGAGATCTCGAAAGAGAATTTTTCTGCATTTTTATTGAATTACAGTTAATTTCTAACAGGCACCCTGCCTTAACAAACTCATGTAACTATTTCCAATTTCTCTTCTTAGTCAACGCTGAAATGGATGTCTTAAGTAAACTCTCTTCTTAGCAGGTTCAAGGAGAGAATAATTATTTCTTTGCAGAAACCTATTCATTTGCTTGCTTAAAGCCAAAATTCAGTCCAAAACAACTTTCGTGATTTTAGTGCAATAGCTAAGGCACATGTTTCGTGTAAAAAAGTTATAGTATTTACTACAGGTGACTGCAGCAGGCTAGTGAGGTGAACTTATAGCGATTAATCAGATAACTTGCAAGTGGGTGAGCACTCTAACTCTAGAAGCATTCAAGAGAAAATTGGACAACCATCTGTCAGATCTACTTTGATTTGGATTACTGCACTAAGCAGGAGTTGGACTCAGAGGCCTTAAAGGCCCCTTTTAATTTAATTATTCTATGATTCTATGCATCAGTTAACTAGAAGTAGAATTATTCTGGATACCTATGTAAGATATAAAGGAAAATAATCCTTTAATGTAGCAGTTAAATCCATTCAAGGCAAGACTAGGTAAAACCTAGAGTAAAATACCATAGAGAAACCCCTATAGTTTATGTGTAGGCAAGGATGCTGGAGAACATCATGGGAGAGTCATAACTATTCCCTTTCTATCACAGATAACAGAGAGTGAAGAACAATAACTATTTACTTTAATAAAAATATTTGTTCTTTTATTGAAATAAGGAAAAAAATAATCAATAGCAAAGGTCAAGATGAAGAATGAGATACCCAGGTCCACCAGATTGTATCAGTATATCATTTCTCACTTGTCACTTTTAATATACATGTTGCTGCATCTGTCTTTAATACTCAGAAATGTCCTAAGCAGTTAACATTCACTGAATTTTGCCGATTTTACCCAACATATTTTTTCCATTCATGTTTTGAAAAGACCAACTAGCTTTTATATTTTGTTCTCATATACTTGTTCAAGACTATGCATGCAAGTATGCAGAATTGTTAATTACTGTTAACTAATTAAACAAAAGGTCTAAGGGTTCCCTACGATAGTGAGGGTAACAGAAAAAATAGTCCCCAAAGCACCAGCCTTGTGCTTGAATTCCTTGTATTTTCTGAATGAATTGAGAATTCTTGGGTCCACATTGAATGGTACTAAACTACTGACAGACAACCAGACTAATACACTTCAGCTTCTGAACAAATTGGTTTGCCAATAATAATAATAATAATAATAATAATAATAATAATAATAATAATAAGAAGAAGAAAAGGTAAGGAAACGGTCCTGCCCCACACGGCGCCTTTCCGGTGTCTCCGTGAGATGCAGGGAATGGAAACTGGGACCGCCTTTTGCATGGAGAGTTTGTTATCAAAACACTGAGCGAAGGTTTGCCTGCTTCCTTCCCTGTCTTTTCTGAGCCCCAGGTTTACCTAAGCCACCTCTACAAACCTGTCCAGTGATAGGGACGCCGTAGCGCATTCTGGTGGCAAATTCTTCACAGTCATTCCGAAACAGGCTGTGCCTCCCTTTCTGTCCCGCCTTGGCCTTTGCGATACGGACGATATCTTTCGGTGGCCGGGGCTCATATCTTTTGTCGTACTTGTTATTGATCCGGTACTTGCACTTTCCCGCCACGACTGAGAGGCGTTCGATCTTCACTTCTGCTGTGGGGTCCGTGTCGGATGAGCAGTTATGGGGGGAACCCTCTGGAGCCGCACCCCAGGAAAGAAGAGGAAACCCAGTCGTTATTGAGATGCCCACCCCCCATCTTTCCAAGTGCCCCCAGCCACCCACCCACCATGGCTGTTTTTCCTCCCATTCAATCTCCCTCCACTATTTCAAATAGAGAAGTTCTTACTTGTCAGATGGACGACATGTTCCTTGTCTATGGCGATGGCATAATGTATGAAACAAGGCCGGAGAAATTCAACCGTGTCTCCCGGGTCTTGGCTCTGCCTCAACCTGCAAGATCAGACAAAGCTAAGGAAACGATCCTGCCCCACAGGGTGACTTTCCGGTGTGCAAGACAAGAAATAGCTGTGTTTTCAGGGGATGGACTGGAAGCCCCAGTTTTAAAAGCATGTTTATCCCAGCCTAAACTGCTGTGGTCTCTTGGATGTCCTGCTCCCTGGCTTGGCTATTGGTAAAGATAGGAAGGGTGTACTTGCTCAGGAATATTATGGGTTGGTTTGGTTTTTTTTCATCTGGAGAATGGAGAAAGGGGAGCAGGTTCCTATGCCTGTGAGGAGCACCATAAACTTCTTCCCTGTTAGTAATCAATAATCCCTTCAATTCTGACTTATTACAACCCTTTTTATGGTTTTCTAGACAGAGAGTACTCAGAAGGGGGTTACCACTCCCTTCTTCTTCTCGAGGAACCTTGGGACGGTGCAGCGTGCCCAAGGCCGCACGGGCTCTCAGGAGACCCGATGAGGAATCAAACTCCCAATTTTGGCAGCCAGCTACCTAATTTATTGAGTTATCCAGCCAGATTCTTCCCAGTTAAAGGAATATAAAATAAAACTCAGAGCGAATATTCCCATTTGGAGAAGTGATCTGTCCTACTTTTACATCATTCTCCTGCCCCCCCCCCTCCAGCAACACTGCAATCTGTTTTGTTGGCTGTGACTCTGGAATTCAATATGAAAAGGAAACCCACCATTTACATTCCAAAGAGAATCCAGGTGACGCATATGCTGCTTTTAAAAACATACTTTAACCATTAGATCTTTTCTGCCACTGGAGGGACCTCTTCTTCTAGAACCGGCTTTCTGTGACCATGTGCTTTAATGATGTGCTGTAAGATGGGTTCTGCCTTACAGCAATTCCTGATAAGGATGATGAAGGATCAAGAGGCATGTTCCCATTCCCTTCTTCTGGGGATGCCCTGGGACTGTGCAGCCTGCCCAAGGCTAGGCAGGCTGGCTGTTCTCATGGCACGCACAGGGGGTGGGGGTGGGACTTGAACCCTCAACCCTTGAGTCCTCCCCAGAACATCTACTGAGAGTGTGCTTGCTTCTGAGAATAACCCTTATGCTTACCGAATATGTCTGACTCATGGTATCCTCTCTTCAAAGCAGCTTGGTCGTTTTTCAGTACTGGAATAAGAATAATCAGAATTTTATGAAACATGGGATAAGCAAAGCACTGTATGGCACAATAATAGTAGAAAGCACAACACCTTCCCTGAAGCTAACAGATGGGTAAGATCTGTAAGGAAACCCCACAGTTTAATTATAGTGGTGCCTCGCATAGCTATCGCTCAATATAGCGATGAAATCGCATAGCGACAAACTTTTTGCGATCGCTTTGTGATGTTCCTTATGGGGTATTTTCGCTTTGCGATGATCGGTTCCCTGCGATCATCGCAAAGCGCCCATTTTCGCATAGCTGATCGGTGGTTTCAATATGGCTGTGGGATAAACAAAATGGCCGCTGGCTGTTTTCTGGGACGGATTCCTCGCTTAAGAGGCACCAGAAATGGCCGCCCTATGGAGGATCTTTGCTGAACAGTGAGTTTTAAGCCCATAGGAACGCATTAATCGTGTTTTTATGCGTTTCTATGGGGTTTTTTATTTCACATTGCAACGTTTTCGTTTAGCAGCGATTTTTGTGGAATGAATTAACGTCGCAATGCGAGGCACCACTGTACGTCCAAGCACTTTTATGAGATGGAATTTCATCCAGGCCTTCAGTGCTGTGGACTGGAGAGCTTCATGATGTATGTTTCCATATCAGCACAGAAGAAGGATAAATTCCTACTTCTCTAAAAAAAAAAAGTTTCCAAAACAAGGTTTCAAGCTGGCAGGACTGTCAGGAGGTTCCCTCTTTTCAGGGACTGTTTTCAAATGTGAAAGCAAACAATGACTTTAATGACTTTCAACACATAAGCGAAAGCATGCTATCTGCACATGTTTTAGCCAAAATATTATCATCCTATAATTACTATTCCTCTATTCACAGTACTGTATTGTTCATTGGTTCAGACACTCATTGACCAAGGCATTGACCTTTAAGATGAAGATTTAGCAACAGAAATGCTACAGAAAGAAGCACATGGAGAGACTGGCAATCTTTTAAAGAAAAGATACAGTACTTACAGCAAAGTCTGTCTGGAAATACCGCAGCTAGTTTTTCCTTTCCATTTGTAATCAGAATGCTGTACAAATCAAGGAAAGCAAAAGTTTATTTCTCCTCTGTCAGCTACAGCTGTTTTTCCTGGAAAAACTGCAGAACAGGAAGACGCACCCATGCATACACAAGCACCCGTGGCTCTCAAAACTGAAAATAGCTGTGAGCGTTGAGATATCTCAACTCAGCTAGATCTTCTCCTCACCCATCTGGCAGCTCTGATACCCTGAATCATCCATCTGGAGGGGGAAAAAAGGTGGACGTGGAATGGAAAATCTTCAAGCTGCCCCAGGACACTGTAAAAATGTACGTTCTCTGGGAACTTTTCAATAGAACAGTTTGCCGCAAAAACAAGTTTTGTCTCCTTACCAAAAAAAGAGCAAAGCCTGCTGCTTATATACCGCCTCGTAGCACTTAAAGCACCTTCTTGGCAGTTTACAAGTTAATTATGCAGGCTATACCTTGCCTGCCCACCCACCCCAGCATGCTGAGTACTCATTTACCAATCTCGGGAGGAGGGAAGGCTGTGTTAACCTTGAGCCGGCTTCCTTTGGCTGCAGTACAGCAGTTTTAGCCACTGCCCCAGGAGATCAAGTGTATAGAAGGCGGGGAGGGAAAGAATCTGGAAGTGTCCATATTTGGGCATCAGAAAATTCTCTTGTTGGCTTGAGTCAAACGGAGGCATTATAAATGATAACATATTTCTTGTACATCGATTGCGGCTTTTGGCAACTGTTCTTATTGTGCATTCCTGTTTTCTGCTCTGTTTGGATTTTGTAACCAGAGAAGTATTAAAAAGCAGATGGTTATACAGTGGTGCCTCGCTAGACAGATACCCCGCATGACAGTTTTTTAGCTAGACATTGGCTTTTTGCGATCGCTATAGCGATTCCCAAAACAGTGATTCCTATGGGGGAATTTTGCTGGACAATGTTTGGTCCCTGCTTCGCAAACCGATTTTTGCTAGACAACGATTTGCTTTTCGCTAGACAATGATCTCGCTAAACAGCGATTTCAGTGGAACGGATTCTCATTGTCTAGCGAGGCACCACTGTATTTCAGCTAGAGCCACTTCCATTATACTCAGGTTTGGCGGCGGTGATAGTGTGGCAGCGGTGGCAACGGATCTACTGCCAGCACCAGCTGCTCTGGATCCGCCTGCCGGCATCTGAACATAAACATAGCAGATGCTAAGTGCAGCTTGTTACCATTTCATCATCATCATCTTTCAACTATAGAGCTGGAAGGAACCCTATGAATTGTGGCGTCCAGTCCCTGTCAAGGAGACACAGTGGAGAATCAAACTCCCAACTTCTGACTAACTTGCTATTAGTGAAAGAGTAGCTCCTTCGGTTTTAGGATGGGCACAGAGGGTGTGCAATGAGATGAAGCTGAATGTACCTCGAAACAGAAGTAGGGACTTTTTTTCCAGTGGCAGTCTACTGGCGTTGTCAATGTTCTTCCGGCGTTCTCCATATAGCTTTGCAACAGGATACCTGCCAAGATGTCCTGGCTATAGAATCATATGTAAATTCTGGCTGAGCCAGTGTAGAGTATCTTCTGGCTATAGAATCATATGTAAATTCTGGTTGAGCCAGTGTAGAGTATAGTTGTTTGAATATTAGATTTGGAAGAGGAGGAATCGGGTTGAGATCCCTGCATAGTGAAAAAGCTTTCTAGGCATCCCATAATATGGATGCTGGTTTTTGGTATCCATTTTTATTGATAGCAACAGAACTTCCTCCAAATCTATGTGAACCTCAGTGGGACCACATGAACGCAAACACAAACAAGCAGTTGTTTAATTTTGTAAGCCACCAATGGCCCTTTTCAGAAGGAAGGCAAAGCAACAATATTTAAAATAACTAAAAAAAAAATAAAGATGTGTCTTTACTGTGATTTTGCTTACAAACATTTTCTGGACTCCTCTTTCAGAGACCACCCAACCAGTTTCTCTCACAACCTGGCTTGACCCAGGCTTCCATTGCAATAGTCCAAAGAATTTTAAAAACAATCGTTCCAAAGCAAAGAGAAGTGCTTTTCTGTATACTTGTGTCCTTGTTTCCAATTTGCGACCAGTAAGGATAACAAGGCAGGCCTCCCATGTTTCAGGTGTCAGGGGCAACAGTACCTTGACCACTCTTTGTGATGTCACTTTGTGATGTAATTCATCACCTTCATAAACCTCTGGTCCAGGACAGCAACCATCCATCTGGTGGGTGACCAGCACTCAGTCAGCTGTGTTGATCCAGCGATGGCGAAGACCCAGCGCATGCTCCTACTGCATCCATCTGGTGGGTGACCAGCGCTCAGTCAACTGTGTTGATCCAGCGAAGGCGAAGACCCAGCACATGCTCCTAGTTGCTCTCGGGAAAATGTTGGCAGCCTCAATCATCTTTCTTCTTGTTATCACTTTGATAACATTATGTTGTCATTTTATTATCCTTTTGAAACTTCTGCAGAGTTTTCCTTTGGTTCATAACACATTTGAATCCATGAGGAGGCTCTTTGGTAGAACCATCTGTTTGGTGGGTCACCCGCGCTCCGGCAGCGGTATTGATCCAAGGATGGAGAAGACCCAGCATGGGGTTCCGGTTGCTCCCAAGGAAGCCTTTGAAACCCTAATCAGATTCCTCATCTTTACTCGTATTCTCTTGTTCATAACATTATGCTATCATAATTGTTATCTTCTTGAAACTCCTACAGGGTTTCACTTTTATTCAAAACATCTGTGACTCAATCAAGAGATGTTTCAGACGCCTCTTTGCTGTCTGTGAAATGCCACCCAAGCTTTCCAGCGCCCAAGCGAAGGTAGCTTGTTGCATTACTGTTATTGGCTTGCTTTCTATATGTAAACAAAATGCATAGAGACAGGAAGCGTATCTGGTGTTCGTTCTCCAGAAAAAGAAAACGGGAAAACTAGTTTTCTGGACATTTCTCTTCATTTTCTCTTTATGGTAGGTCTCTCAGCAAAGGGGCAAGTGCCTGAGGGAACATGGATTGGGGGAAAAGAACAGTCTCTCCACCCCCCATTGAGGTCTGGCATCTCCCATTCCTGAACCTCCCCAGAAAATAAGACCTGGAAGCTCACTTGAGGAGAACAGCCCAGCATAGGTGGGGACTTCCCGGATGGGTTCTTCAGTCCTTGGGGGCCCTTCTGCCTCCTGCAGCTCCCTCCGAAGTAGATTTTGAATACAGAACATGGCTTCAGAGGTCCCCGCATGCCGTGACTGCTCAGGATGAAAAAGAGAAGGGGCGAAATGAAAAGGAGGAAGTCCATTGGGAGGGTGTTCACCTGAAGCATCAAAAAAATCTCCTCTGGGGGAAACACAGGAATCCCTGAAAGAAAATGCTGTAGATCATGGCCCCCTTTATCAAAAATGATCACTACCCATTATTTGGGGTCACCGGAGGGGGAGACATCACTAAATTGCTATCTATTATTAGTTGAGAAGAGATTGCTTTCCTACAGTAATCATATGTTAACTACTGATCTATTTCAATAAAAACCTTTTTTTGTGATGTATGTTTATGAAGATGCAAATCTGTGTGGCTTTGGGGGGGGTCTCGTGTAGGAGCATGTAAAGTGTGCAAACCTCAGAGTCCATTGGAGTCCAGATGTTCAGGCAGGTCAGGTCCTGAGTCAACGCTCCTTGGCTGTTGCCACCCTGCAACACTCGTGTTTTCCATAGAGGTTGATGAGGCTGAAGACGTCCCTTGTCTTGCTCGGCCTCTTGAGACGCACCCCAGGGGGTGAGAGAAAGGCCAGGACTCTCCACGTTTGACCGATTTAAACTGATTCCAGAAATGGATTCGATGTTTTAAATCAACCACCAAGTAATGTATCAACACAATAAAAATAAAACCAGGGAGGCTGACAGGGGCAAAATATCCCTGCTGGTCCTCCTCGACATCTCGGCGGCCTTTGATACCGTCGACCACCATATCCTCCTGGGGAGGCTCTCCGAGTTGGGAATTGGTGTCTCGGCACTCGCCTGGCTCCGTTCCTTCTTGGGGGACCTTCCCCATAGAGTGCAGCTTCGGGAGAGCGTCTCGGCCCCGTGGAGTCTCAATTGTGGGGTTCCACAGGGGTCGATCATCTCCCCAATGCTGTTTAACATCTATATGAGGCTGGTGGGAGGGGTCATCAGGGGATGTGGGGCTTCGTGTCATCAATATGCTGATGACACCCAACTCTACATCTCCTTTTCACCAACTGCAGGTGATACCGTCCTGTCCCTCTGGCGCTGCCTGGGGGCCGTATAGCAATGGATGCAGGAGAATGAGTTGAGGCTGAACCCGGACAAGATGAAAGTTCTGAGGGTGGGTGGCCCCGTGGTAGGCGGCATGGGTGACTCTCTTACGTTTGGGGGGGTCCCCCTGGCAACGAAGAATGGGGTCCACAGCCTGGGCATATATTTGGACCTGACGCTCACCATGGAAACGCAGGTGGCGTCGGTAGTCCTCACCGCCTTTTTCCATCTTTGGCAGATTGCCTGGCTGCGACCCTACCTCGACATGGAGGCTTGGTGCATGCGCTCGTAATCTCAAGATTAGACCACTGTAACG